ATATTTCCTATCCTGTACGTCATCGGAGTTATTATTAGTATGTTATATGGTATCTCTTCCTTTGGTAGAACCTTTAAATAGTATTTAAATCGTATTGGTGGATCTTGTAGTTAAACACTTCCGCGACTTCATCAGTGTTTGAGAAAAAATATATGTTTGTTGAGAAGACACGTTCTAACTTCAAAGGGAGTTATATCCGTTACAGTGTAAGTTTGACTTTCCTTCATCACGTCGCGTCAGTTCATATCGTACTGTGCCAATGAATGAACCCTCTAGCATAGTTTTGAGAAATTGACTATGGGGCTACTGATAAAGCTGGAATTCCTTGACATGGGGGATGTCAGTTAGTTGTCTCGGCCTTCTCAATAACATAAAGTTGTCAATATAATCTCTCTACGGAATGTTAGGTGTAGTGGAATACATTAAGTAAAGTTGGCTTTTATTCTTGAACTGTTAGGGGCCTCCTCATTTATATGGTCTTGACGGCTTCATTGGCAACAAATAATGCAAATGACATAGCAATGGGACATTTCCAAAAAGCAAAAATACTGTAAAATGGCTGTTACGTATATATTGACGTTTACATATTGTTAATCAACGTATATGATAAATACTTTAATACTTTAATACGTTTTTATGGCGACCATTCATAGTAGGTAAGCCAAGTATGAATGGAGATGAGTGTAGGATGAGTGGCACGATCTTGAAGTCTTGTTAGTGACTAAGGCCGACATTCCTTGGATACAGCTGTTAATTAATAGCCCATACAGCGAATGGCAACCAAGGGACCTACAGTTTATAGTTGAATTGGAACCAAATTTTTTTTTGCATTGGTATTTATGAATTGGTATAATTATCAGGATAGCACTGCGGGTAGTCGTAGTACTCACTCGTGCGGACGTTAATCCACACCAGGGAGTATCGCATCCACAGTGCATTCCCATAAATATCCACAATTCGTGACCTCCTAGTAGCTGGATTACAGGACGACGCCACCCGTCCCAGTCAAAGAATTATGTGATCTAGTTTAAAAGGAATATGACCTTTCTGTCATGACAGTAGCTGCTTAAATTGTATTTTCTCTTTGTACCATATTTTACAGCCAAAATGTCGTGTTATTTTCAATAATGTTACAAATTCAGTGCGCCAAAGTCCGTAATATAGGCAGGTGCAAATAATTTGTCAAGATAGGTACCATTTTAGGCAATGTTTCTAAGTTTGGATTTTATTAGACACAATAAGAGCAGATATTTTTCTACATAAATATTTGATATTTTGTAGAATAATATGATAAAATGTATGGCGAAAAAGGCACACACCAACCCGTACAATAGATATAAGATAGTTCAATAAGAAATAATTTAAGAATTGCTGTGATGAAAGGATTTTCCACTGATTTCGTAATGGAACGTTATATTGCAAAACATGGCATGATAAAGAAGAAAATCAATTTTAAAATCAGAAAATAACATTGCAAATACTTATTTGGTAGAATTCAACTCCCAATAAATGTGTGTTGTTTGAAATACAATTTAAAAATGAACAGCTGTTCCATTAAAAAGTATTATCCACGTGGCCAAAATGTAAACAACTCTGTGGAGGGATCTTTTAAGGCTTCTGGGGCAGAGTCCTAAGGGATTTTGCTTAGTTTTTCTTTTGATAACTCATCTACAGACCAAGACCTTTCTTTGGACACCTCTACCAAGTTTCTACGCCCAACCGTTCTCTCAAATTAGTGGGGACAAAGTTTCCAATCAAATATTTAGATTCCCCCATGTTAATCTTATGGGAGAAAATCCAACTTTAATAGCCTGTGGGGCAAAGCCCGAGGATTTTTACTACATGAATTGGTGAAAGGGGGCGTCTACACAAAAAATACTTTATTTTGACACGTCGTTTGTAAAAACCCGTCCATTATTAACGGAGGAGTAGTGTTTTCTAGAAATCGCCTTCACGTATTATATATAAGGATTTTTTTTATACCTGAGATAGAATATGTAATATGAAGGAGTCAATAGTTATAAGTTCGCCTTTCAGTTGGTGTGGTTAAAAAATTTTAGTAATTGAACAAATCTGTAATTAAAGCACATTTTGTCAGTAAACTAATTTAACCACGTCCAGAGCAAGAACTGAGAGCAAATTATCATAGATACGAAATGTTCAGCTCCAACCTATAGTACAATATATATATCTTTTCTCTGAATAAATTTCCTGGTTGATTTTCTTAATTCGTAGGATAGTAGTTTTAATTTTGTTAGTACTAGTTTTAAATATACAGTATTTGGTATTTATTATTAAATTTTATAAGGTAACCCTATTATTTTGAGGATACGTTGGTAAGTGGTGTAGTATGACTATGACTAGGTTAAAACAGTTAAAACAAAACTATTACATATTTATTTTAAATATATCTGTTTATGTCTACAATTACACGTTTGTATTTATGACAGCTGCTCTCCACATATTTGACAATTAATTAGCGTAAGAAACTTGACTCGAAACTAAATTGATAACAAAGTAATATAATACATCAAAAGGTTTTGACAGAATACACCTATAGGAGGTCAAACTTGAGGTGGGGGTTCGCTCTGTTTTCATCCCCTCAATTATAGCTTGACATGTCTGAACTGTTTCTTGCCAAGGGGTTTCTGAACACCAGTTTGGTTTCAACGCAACATTGAACTGCTGTAGGCGGTATCATTAATTAATAACCCAATGACAGGCTGAAACTTGGTCTAGAGCCGATTGAACTGACCAAACCTAGAGGTAGTAATTTTAAATATTTTTTGTATTGGATAGCCTAATTTTCACTTTCCCTCCCTATACCATGGTATATCAAAGTATTGTTTTCGTCAAAATTTTCGAGTTAGAGTTTTGAGTGGATATATTCATTTTGTGTTCCCCTGGACCCAAAAAAGTGGTTTTCGAAGTGGTGTGTGTGTGTGTGTGTGTGTGTGTCTGTGTGTCCGGATGTCTACAGAGCTAGGGACTACACCTGTGGTCCGATTTCGATTAAATTTGGTATGTAGGTTCTAATCCATGGTATCTCCAGGCGTTTTTTCTTATTTTTTTTTGAAATTTTGATTTTTAATGGGGATTTTCCCATAAAACCCCATAAAATAACGGAAAAATAGGATTTTCCCAAAAACGGCCTGAACGATTTTTATAAAAATTTGGTATGTTATAGTCCTTTATATTCTGAACAAAATGGTAGAAATCCCATTTCTGTAAAAATTACGGTTCAATAGTTATTGTAAATTATGTTATTTTCCCATAAAAACCCCATAAAATAACTGAAATATCGGATTTTCACAAAAATGGCCCGAACGATTTTGATAAAAATTTAGTATGTAGTCCTTTAAATTCTGAACAAAATTGTACTAATCCCATTTCCGTATATTTACTCTCACCGCTTACACATGATAAAGGTTGTTGACAAACTTATGGGAGAAAGTATGAGTCAGAATGCTGATACCGTTTATTATCTTCACAATTCACTCACAACTGAACAGCTCAATTTAAACACAATTCATATTCAAAATAATTTGAAATATCACGATAGTGATTTTTTAATTCATTATTGTTTAAGTACGATTAATTTTTAACACTTTGAATAAACATCAGAAACGAGTAGTTTGATTTGTGTGGTCAAACTATCAACTACAGCTCAATCAAGCCCACAGTTTAGCGGTCAAAGTTTCGGCCTTGTTGACAAAACATTAATGGAGACTGGTTTCATTTTCACGCCATTAAATATATTTTTGGTTTAGTGGTTTGAACGCGCGTTGGTTTAAGTGTGGGTTTTCTGTCCGTTCACTAATTATCAGCAATAGTGAAATCGATATTTTCCTTGAACATATTAAAATTGGTTGCTTGTAGGTCAACCTTTTAGATCAATCCATGAAAAACCTACAAAATTAATTGTATAATTCAGTATTAGCTTCGATGTGTTTTTTATCTTTGTATGACAAAGTAAACATCAATTTACAAGTTAATAACATGACAATATCTTTAGGAAGGTTCCACTGTGTTTATATTATTTACAGTGAGATTAAGTATATGCAACATTTGCCTTTATAATCCAACAGTAAATATTTTAGCTATTAGAATGTATCTACATTCAAGTATATTTGATTTTATATTGATATAATTATTTTAATAGTAGTCTATTGAAGTTAATTTAAGGGAATTTTCTTTAGACAAATGTATATAAACGTATAAAATGGTCAAATAACTCTCTCAATGACTGATTCAACCTTGTTAAATGTAAGTTTGTAGCAAAGTTAAGAGTCCGCAAGGTCAATGAATGACGAGATAACTCTCATTTTATTCTGTTGTTCAATACTAAATTCTACTGTTCAGTGTTTGAAAATTGGCTAGACATGTCGACGCAAATTAATTGATGGTTGATTATAGAAAATAAAGCTATGTTTTACATAAAATATCAGGTATTACTATAGAGAAAATGCCATGTATTTATTCTGTAGCCAACACACACAAACAACACAAAAAATACATGGACGGCTTTAAGAACATGTTTACATGCTTTTTCACGTATATTTAAATGTTCCCAATTCTACGATTTAACTCAACCTCATTTTTAAACCTCTTCTTAGACGTATTGATTTTAATTAATATTCGTGTGCAATTTTGTCTATCCCCATGCCATTGTAAAATCCCTATGCTCATCTCACCCATCGTATCACCATGACAAATAACAAAGACGATTTCCCCAGCCTTATCGATTCCATCTTATGAAAACGCTCTTTTCACGGAGCTCCATACGTGTTTATATCCCAAAACATTTTTCGTGATCTTCACCACCCATTTTAAATCTCAATAACAAAACCATAACATATTTACATCCCAAACATCTCGCCCAACCCACTCACAGCCCACGCAACAACAACACAACACCTAGTAGTATTACTCCAGACACAACTCTAAGCCCTTAGCTACTACAACCTACGACTCCCGTACTTCCTCTACCTAGACGTTACCTGGTGCGATGGTATCCAGTGGACGATGGAAGCTGTTTCTGGACCGGATGGATACTGAGGGCGATGGCGCGTCTCCAATGCGGCGCATGCGTCACCCAACCTGCGTCAATAACTGGAATACAATTCCACCAGATGTAGCTCCAGCCTAAGTGAGGCCCTTGGTGGTTTGATGAGGATATTTTCTTATTGACTTCCACTTTGGGATGTATCTTTAATACTAAGGCAAAAAATGTGGTTCGGATTCCACTATAAACTGTAGGTCCCTTAGTTGTCATTAGCTGTATGGGCTATTAATTAACAGCTGTGTCTAAGGAATATGTCAGCCTTAGTCACTAACAAGACTACAAGATCGTGCCACTCATCCTACACTCATCTCCATTCATAATTGGCTTAAAATACCTACTTTGTATGGTCACCATTTCAAAGAAAAGAATTAAATTATTAAAGTGTATTTTGCACTTTGTATTCGTTGTGTACAGGGGAATTATAAAGGTGTTATGTTTATAGTTTGTGTTTTGAGCAAAAGGTTGATTAACGAGAAAGCAGAGTGTTTGTTTTGTTTGAGAATAAATTTTAAGGTAGCGGGTTTCATTTCCAAGGGAATAAACTCCTTACCTAATCGTCATGCGTCATTGGGTCATCAATTAGTTATGCTATATAATAAAATTCAAATTTAGATAGTTACAAGACCAAGATTTTGGACGGTTTCTTATAGAAAGTTAAGTTAATTAAATGACGAGTTTTTTTCTGTTTTCTCAAGTAAAATTTGGTTTACTTTATAAGCTAACAGATTAAGGGTTGTTTTGATATCACAGGTCAATCAAGAAATGTTTATTCCTAAGTGATCGGCGATATTTTAATCGCATTCATCTCAAAAGCATCTTGTTTATTATTGAATCTTAATTATTGTTGAATAAATATTGTCTTGCTTGGGAATATCTAGAATATTGGGGGAGATTTGACAGTGCCATTGACTACGAATCCATATAAGTGATGTCATGAGTTAATATAAACTTTTAGCTACTATTTATACACTGCGACAGCTCACTAACAATGCTTAGTACATTCGCATGGACACAAAAGATTAAGAAAATATATATTCTCAAAGATCACCACTCCCAAGAAAGAATTATAAAAATGTATGACAGATAAGACGTATTCGTCAATTTCAGAAGAGTTATGCCTGTACAAATAGATAATTTACTAATACCAACGTTTTTAAGCTCAAAACATTTTACAAAAAGGATTCAAAGTTGAAAGCTATTGAATTGGAGCAAACAGTATTTAAATGTTAATGTTCCTACATAAAACCGAAGCAGATTTTCAAGGTCAAAGCAAGGAAAATGGTTCAACGATTATATCATACTCTTTTGACAATTACGGGATCTTTGTAATTCACATGTGGGAAGTTTAGTACAAATAAATGATAATGCTAGTACATATCTGGGTTAATATGTGAGGTTATCCATGTAGCTTACCTTGTCAGACAATTATTTATACATGTAACCTATTTCGATGTTGACTAAGTTAATTGTTTAGATAAATCGTGTGAACAGCGTGATGCAATTATTCGATTATACAATTATATCTTACATATTAGCAATTATATCTTACATGTTGCGGCTTCATTTTCTACGGACCTATTTTTTCATTCCTTTAATTAGCTTTCAATGTAGTAAGAAGAAGCTCTGAAAATGGAAACGTTGAAAGAATTGCGAGGCTGTGTGTGGAAGAAAATGGAAAACTGGTCTAGAGGTTGTGGAATATCTTTATTTTGGCTTTTATTATTACATGCCAATAAAAAGATGTTCTTAGAGTTTCTAATAAAAACAGTGAAGATAAAATCTGTTCCAGCAACCTGCTATTAGCTTGAATATAAGAAGGTTTTTGTTCCGTGCTCATTAGTATGGTAATTATTTTCACATTTCAGGACATTATAGCTCTGCTTTAGCTACTTTCCCCAAGGTACGCAATGCTTAGCCTGAAATATTAAGTGAAAATATTTTTTCTGGAAGTTTGACTCAAAATTACAGCAAATGCAAGCAACATGCCAACAACATGTAACTATGCGGCAATCTAATAGGCATGGCACAAATATATTTTTAATTTAGTAATAAATCCATAGCTACTATCTATGTTATGAACTCGGTTCAGTAAACTTATACATCATTTAATTCAAACAAAAGAAAAAGTAATGTTTTATATACTCTCTTTATTATGTATATTTTTAAATAAACCAATATGGTAATATTCAAGAGTAACTATATAAGTAAATATTCAAGTAATATTTAAAGCAATATTCAGTATCTACAGGTAATGTTCAGAGCAATATTCACAGCAATTGAATAGCAGAGTGATCGAGTGTAGGAATTTACAAGCGTATTTTCGCAATTGAAAATATCCAATAGGAGATGGAGGGTAATATTTTGATTGATTCACCCAAAACCGCCAGGAAATAAACAGTAATCAATTTCAAAGAGTCCAAATTGAAATGTTGGATGCAAACACATTTAGGATGAAAATAAATATTCCCTCTTTTTGTAAACATGCTTGATTGTGCTCTTTTATCAGTTACTATTTGTGGAGAAGATTTCTTTGGAAGTATGTTTTCATTTTACTTTTCCACGGATTTTTGAATACATATTCACAAGTTAATTAATTATTAAAAACCAAAACTAATTGTTGTTTAGAATACAATGATTGTATAAGCAACCATTTCACTTACTATGATTGCATTTTACTGTATTTTTCTTTAGTTTTTTTTTTAACTCCAGTTTTTTTTATAATTGATGTATTATATTGGAACTTACTTTCATTTTGATTTATATACAGTCTCTTCTAAACGGGTCCAGTGATGGAAAGGACATAATTAAACTATATTTTAAGGTACATAACTTTACGTCCACACTTCAACGGAGTATGATCAATTTCACTACATGTTTTGTCTATTCAGGCATTGTCAAGTGATTGTTCAAGAATGTTTCACCCATTAGCGAACTCGTCAAGAACTTGACAATGCCTCAATAGGCGATACATGTATTAAGATTGACCATGTTTGACCATACTCTAACGAACTGTGACTTAAAGGTATGTACCTTAAATAATAGTCTAATTAAACAGTTCAGAGGATACACAATGAATTTTAACGATAGAATTAATCATGAATAAAACTGATCGTACATAGCATGTTTTTAAGCGGAAACGGGATTACAAAGCAAGGAGAAAACAAAAATATTTTTCATATACTAGTCGATTTTGCTGACAGATTTAAAAAGAGTTTTACTATTCTATAGTTTTACACAGTTGGACATATACGTATCTTATATCGCCCAATAAGTATCTTTATGATATAAAAGTACAGTACAATAAATTCAACACAAACTTTAGTCACCCTTTCGTCTAAGGGAATGGGAGTATTTATAGAGATGACAAGTGGTTTAAGGTAAAGTTTTGCAGTCGGAAGTCAACCTGTCCGAATTCCCAAGTGAGGAAACAATACACTCGTGTTTTGCTATTGTTTACACTTGACACTTTTTGTTTTAAATGAAGACGAAGAGTCCCTGAGGAATAGAGTCTGTTCAGTTAACAGGTAAAAGTAAAAGGTTTATTTCATGTTTTGTTTACATTCTCCGACAACATTGCAAACATTTAATTAATAATATAAAAAGTATGGTTTAAACTCCTCAGAAGTTAAAAAGGATGTGTAGTTATAAATCCTATCATTTTCTTTTAAGCTTATATCGTGCGATGCTTAGTAAAATTTGCAACAGAGTAACCTGTTTACGAACTTAATGTTTAACCTTTACAAACATCAGAGGTATCCTTGGTAAAAAAAAATTACCTGAATTTCCTGAATAAAAATTACTATACCATGATTATTATGACATATGAACAGAAGAAAGATATATTTTGACACAGAATTAAATAGGAGGAGAGTATGGGTATTCTAATATTTTCGATATTGATTTCTTCGCATAGTATATCTAACAAGGAGGTTATTAGATAATTTGGTTTTTTTTTATTAAAATTCTTGGTTTTTAAATCCTTAAATCAAGAGCATAAAAAGTGTTTTTTACGTGTCTATCTACGTCATTAGCATTCTATTACGTTTTGAAAGGGAACGATTCAAACCCTGGCCTTGTTACTATCTAACGTCAACCTTTCTGTTCGACTGAATCATTGGTTGATTGCCCAATGAGAAATTAACTTATCTTCAGATGTGAAGACGAGCAATACAACGAACATTCTTTAAATAGTTGGGATATCTCCATTATTTGCTAAAGACTGTTTCAAATCTAAAGCGTAAATCTGTTACTTTACTCTAATCCAATAATAGGGAAACCATTGCTATTACTTGTGGTGCTTTTTACTTTTATGAATGCGTAGGGTTCAGAGTTCAAGCCAACAAACTGCTTGGGAAGCAAACAAATCAGATGAACTCTTTAGTATTAATACTAAAACACCCAATGTTATTTTTAAATATTCATTTTGTGTAGGTATACAGATTTTTTTAAATGTTAATTGCAGAGTAAATAACCCTTCAATGGTTACTAAATAATGTCAAATTATTTTAATTTTTTTGTGTTAGAAAATTATACCAATTATACAATTAAGTGATTTCTTATCCAAACAAAGACGGTCAAAATAAATTTAAAATGCAATAATACATTTAACCCCCTTAGCTATATATGTATATGGATTATCAATATTCATGGTTATAATATTGTTCACTTAAAACTCCTTTTATACCAGAAAACTTGTTGCCTTTTTTTAGTGTGTATAGGTTTCGACATGAATCATCGCAAGTGCACGAAGGGAACTTTGCATTGTTCCTCAATCTCCCTACGTCTGCAAGCAACACTGCACTATTTGACAGCTAAAGCACACACTAACGCAATTTCCAGTCTGTAGGTACAGTAGTACAATATTTTTGCTTTTTCTTAAACATACATTATGTCATACTGATGCTAAAATATCTCTAATTAATTACTGATATTTATCTTATAATTTTGCTTTTCTCCTGCTTAAATTTAGTTGTTTTATTTAAAAGTATGCTGGCAAACCTACATTATAATAAAAATCATAACC